TTAGTGTACTTAGTAACTCATCAGGATAACAAAACTGCAATTAACGTTTTCATTGATGCCAGCGGGGATTAACAGCCTGTCAACCCAAATTGCTTGGGTACTGTGAAATTTCGCTCGTCCAGGTGGAAAAGTTATTTAATAAAAATAAATAAATGTGTGGACGTAGAAGGAAAGGGGGAGATCTCGTAAACAGGCTTGAAATTGTAGTTTCCGAAGGCTGTTGGTTACGTGTTCAGATCACGTCGGTGTCACCACTGCAGCCGTAGAAGGAAAAGGGGGGATCTTCAACCTATGAACGTCTATGCAAGGTGTTCTGCCCGGAGAGCGACCAACGCTCCGTGTGATAATTCGGAGCTGTTCTAAATATACTTTTTATGATTCGGAACTTCGATGGCGCGATTTAGGCGTCGGTGTTTCGCTTGTGGCGCGACGACAGCGCCGCCACAAATGCATAATAATTTTATCGGGTAGTGGCAGTGTAAGAATATTCATAAAACCATTACGTACGCGTGCTTGTCGTAAGAAGTGACAGAGAAAAACTGGAATAGGAAATGGGATGGTAAAAAACTGCCAAGCGCGGCAACTATGGCAAAATTCCCCCTATTAACTTAAGAGGCAGTTCAGCAGTGGAATTTTACAGGCTGTAATGATATGAAAAACTTTACGTTATGAAAGAGTACGTGTATACTTTAAAGAGATCCACATTCATTGTTGCTAAAGTGAACCTTTTTAAAAGATAATTTTGTAATACTTATGTTAACAAGCGTGAGAACTGTCTGAGAATTAGTGCAATTGTCTAAAACCGTTTCCTCTGCATCTGCAATAATGTTTATAAAGTTCTAACGTGGCGTTAAAGAAGACAGGTAAAAAGTTTAAACGAATAAGCTATGGTGTAAGATAAGTTTTATATAAAATGCTTAATAAGCTTTATAAACGAGTCTTTATGAATAGCTTTTAAATGAAAGTTCTTCAGTAACAAATTGAATGATGGGGTATGGGTCCTTTTCGGTCTAGAAGTTCGGCTGTCTACTATTGACCTATGAGCATTTAAATAAAACGTAACCTTCTGACATGCAAGCGTAAGTCGGAATGTATCCTTGTTTTCCACTGATATACCTAAGTCTGATTGTACTGGGTTGTATGGGAATGGTTGGTTACAGTCGTCTGATTGTGAGGAGAGACATCGCGCTTATGGATGGATATATCACCCAGATATGCTCGCTGTGGGTGCCCAATAATTACGCGTGTTCTCGTTGTCTTCCGTTGTTTCTCCTCGTGCCCGCTGCTAGGTTGCACCATTGTCACGTGCTATAAACACTATGTTAATATCTTCTCACAGGATATTGACATATTTACATGTAGTGAGACGAAATTCATAATTGCAGCATATAAAAGTGTTGAAAATTGTATTTTTTTTTTAATTTGTATATTATTTCACAATCATGTCGACAGATTTCATATTAGATACAGTGCAATCTCGATATAACAAATCGGAAGTGAACAAGTAAATATTCGTTATATCAAGTAATTTGTTAAACTGAGGTTTGTTATGTTGAGGTTAGGTTAGTCTAAAATTTGTTATAAAGAGGTAAAAATAGTTTTATTCACAAGTTATACTAATAAACTTTATATAAAAGTCTTGGATTGACAAAATTCGTTAATTAGAGGTATTTACACTTTCTTGATAGTTGTAAATTCGTTATTAAGAGGTTGTTCGCAAGAAACGTTCGCAATGTAAAGGTATATTTTATATTGAATCCTATAGACAATTCAAGGGCATCACGAAAAATTTGTTAAATCGAGGGAGTCGTTATATTGAGGTACGTTAGAAGGTTGCACTGTATCATTATTAGTCAGTAGTTTTCTTACGTTGAGGTTAGTTATAGCAACGCATTGGTTTAATAACTGTAATGATGTTAAAACTGTTTAATAAATAAATTAATGAAAAATAAGTACACGTGTGTTTTCCTCTGAGCTTAAATTTGGACTTTGACTGGTCATGAAAGGTCCCCGTTTAAGGTTTACCAGTAAACAATTGAGCGCAGTATTTCAGGAGTTAATCTAAGAGATCGCATCGAAAATACAATACTGCGTTGAAAGACTCAGGTAAACCGATTTGTTACCAAAGAACGCTGTGCTCAAATAAGACTAGACCGAATAATATGCCTTTTTTTATATATTTTCTTTAAAGGTGACAAACGAGCACTCAGTCCATCTGATGGTAAGTGGTTACATGATGGTGGTACATCTATCCTCGATTACAAATCAAAATGCAAATGTGTTGTCACCCGCGAGGACTAAGATGGAATGCCTTCTTTCCAGTAAAAAGGGTTTCCGCTTTTCTAAACTCACCATATGAAAGCCAGTAGAGTTAAGCTGCAACTTTACGCTAGTATTCTTCAGATCGAGTCGACCTATTCGTGATACTATTCTACTAATATAGCCGCAGTATAGCTCTACCACGTATAAAAACGCCTGTCGTATAAGACCTATACTACAATTAAATGGGTCACACAATGCGTAAAACAACAACGTAGCCGACCTAGGCGAAAATAAGAAGACGAGTTTGTCTGTTACGAGAACGAACGAGAAACTTATCTAAAAGAGCGAAAACAATAGGTAATGGGACGAAAATCTGTTACTCAGCAATGGGAAAGTAAAGGCTTAGTAATATTAATATATAATGTAATAATTAACATAACACATTATAAAATTGAAATACTTTATTTAGTAGAAGTAGATCTAATACATGAAGATATTTTTCAGATTTTATGGCTTTACAATTAACTATGTTCAAGTGCTTTGCCACAGGGTAACCTTTTATGTAAATTTTATGATTTTCTGTAAAAAAATGGAATAAGTATTTCTGTATTTCTTTTAAATTAATTCGTAGTAACTATAGACTTAGAATTTATTTACAAGTTTATATTGGTGTTTTCATAAAAATAATTATAAGTGACTGTGACTATTTTTCTCTTGTGCTCCACAGTAATTCTACTAATTTATTATCTTACCACATAAGCATTACATCAAATAGAGATTGATAAGGATATGTGAATCTGCGTCTGCGTGTTGACTTTAGGCAATATCATCCTTGTAATTGATAACTTGAGATAAAAATTGGAAGTTGATATCGGTGTCTTAACTGACCTGTTTCAGAACATTTTTGTACGATTATGATATTATACAGAATAAGACGTAGCATATTTCCACGAGAGTAAACGCCTTGTATTTTCCGATACATGCATCTCGACCTTTAACTGTCAACGTTCGCCGATGACTCGCCCGATGAATACTAAGCAGGTTGTCTTCATAAAACTCTTCTTAAGAGCATTTGCGTAATTATTTGTTGGCGATGACATTAGAGCGCGAATATGTGGATAGTTTCACGACCTATATTGCTAAAGGTCGTCTTAATTCTTAGGTGCAGCGATGTTTACTACGAGTATAGACGGGAATATTGATTGTAGAAATACTTCAACCCTATAAAGCAAGTAATCTTTTTGCGAAGAATAATTATTTTTATAATTATAATATTTGCTTTCGTGTGACCCGGTCGAAAAAGCAGTATATATTTTTTAAATAAATATTAGTTACGATTTGTACTTTATCTTTATTTGTCTATTTAAAATTTATTTATGAAGATCTTATTTATGTGAATTTGGATTCAATAAATATCTCACCAATAAACAAATTATCAAGTAAATAATCAATAATCCTTCTTTAATGCAGTAAATTAACTATTTTTAGATACTGAGATGGACTTCTTGATTATTATTTTTTGATAAACAAATTGGCTAACTATCCACTGAATTATACGTGGCTAAAGCAGAATTAACCTCCGAATCTATCTAAGACTAACTGACTAAACAGTTGACCACTAGAAGTAGTTTACTGTTCAGAATATATTGAAGTGCAATGTATTAGTGCAAACATACACTCACACCCTACTTTTTTAATCATTTTAATACGATAAGATAATTTAAAAAGTAACCTTAAGAAACTATTACTTTTTTCTAATACATATAAATTCTAATAGCTTAATAGTACCTGTAATGAATTCTTATATTTACGCGAATATTACACATAGAATAAAACTAATTTTATGGATTCTATTGCGTATAATTTTTATTTTGTAATCCCTTAGAGGTACCCCAAACAGGGACTTCTAAGCGCCCATGGTCACGGAGGGGACTGAGATGTTTGAAGTCCTGAAGTCGTAGTTGCTGAAGGCTGCTTTCAATTTTTAAATATTATTTTTTCTTAACTTTTATTCTTACATTAATATTTAAAAGTGATCATGGGCGTTGACAAGTGCCCGAAACGTCGAGAATTAAAAATGTTAAAATTAAACGCGATAGAATCCGTAAAATTAGTTTTATTCCATTAATAGTAGCCGTTGCGTGTACACTGTCCACATTAAAATTGTATGTTGTCTGTTTGTTTTAAAATTGTAAAAATTGTATGTTTATGTAAGTCTTTTGTTTGTACATTAATATAGGTCAAAGCAATATTCATACATTTTACCTTAAAATGTATTTCATTGCTTAAATAAACAAAAAATTGTCCATTTTCGTTTTGACAAAACAATGTTATCTTTATTATTTAACCGATGTTGTAAGTTTGTCGCTAAGATCGATGTTGCGTTGATGTCTTATGAATGAAAAAACACAATGTTCTGCCGCCGTAAAAAGTAGTAGACAAATTATAATATATTGAAAATAAATTATTGCTAATTAATGTTTTGTGATGCTTATAACCCTTTCAGTTATAAAAATTTGTGTAGAGTATAAATAATTTGCAGGTCTGCAAGATATAAAATAAATTATAAATATATCAATGTAGAATATATCAAACTATTTTTATATCTATGTTTAAATAAAAACCCAGTTTATTCTTCATGAATTAATTACTGAAAAAGCAAGTTATTTTATTATTTTTGGTCCATTCAAACATTACATATAACATAAAATAAAACATTCGTAAAATTTATAACTCACCTTGCACACGCGAAAAACCACGACACAACGTCACTAGCACTTTAAAAATTGTGTGTATGTCCGTAACGCGCGGTGCTTGGGGTCAGAGTGCGTATAGATCGGGGTGTCATCCCGCGACTCGCGCGCTCGCGTAGTGAAAGTGTTTATATAGCTTCGGAGATGCAATTCAAGCTTGCGCTCTGACATCACATATTTTGCTTGCAATGAATTTATGGGCATGTAAAACAAAGTCCTTCAAAAATACAGGTGGCTTGAACATTATAAGATACTTTAAGATGAATATGAAACATTTGCACGATTTTAATCTAAAAAAGTAATCTTCGATGTATGAACATTATTAAGTTCGCTCTTAATTAACTTTATTTTCTATTCATTCCTTTTCATTAATTACAGTCTATCAAGTATCAGTAAGTCCACTGCAGAACATAGCCGCCCTCGTAGATTGCTTCATAGGATTTACTTCAGATGCCACGCTTGACAGGCGAATTGGCAACGAAAGTTTTTGATAATTTTTAATTTTAGAAAGATTTAGGACGATGCCAATCTCCTGCTTCATTTCCCTCAGTCGCCTCATCTCATTTAGTGCCTCATAACATCCACGGGGTGTTATGAGGCACTAAATTCTCTTACGAAAACACTAAATTAATAAATAAAAATTTCAACAAGTTATAGGGAAGACAAAATAATAAGTTTAATGTAATATCATCATGATAAGGTCTTTAACATTTCAAGGCTATGTTCATCTGTGGACTTGTGATAAACAGTAATAATAATGATAATGATGATAGTATTTCAGGGGCAAATCGTTAGCCTTAATTTGCGTACTATTCGAAAAACCTTGGTTAAACCCACGCTGGCATCAGTAAATATTCGAATTAAAATTTTCATTAAAGACGTGTTCAGTAAGGTAGCTTAGATGAGTAGGGCTCATTGTAAATTTCACAGTAGGTACGCAAGCGTCCCGTGTTCGATCCCCGCCGGCACGAATGAAATAATCAATTACAATTTTATGTGCTGTTTTACCACGTGCTCGGCAGTGAAGTAAAATAGCGTTAGGAAACCTGCATGTCTGAGAAATAAGAAAAAAATATTTTGAAGACATGTGAAGTTGGCGAACTTCACATGTCTTCAAAATATTTACGCATCTCAGAAATGAGAGGAGACCTGTGCCCAGCAGTGAGATTAACAGTAAGGATTGTGGGAAAGTCTACATAATGACCATATAAAAATATTTGTGGAATCGTAAGGTCCACGGACATGCATTGGGACAGCTAGATGGATTTAAGAAATAGAATTCTATGAGCTCAAAATCAACTGTGAGAAATTGTTCATGCACCATGCATTTCTTTACAGTGTAACAAAAGTTTAATGCTGAACATAGGTCTACTCCAGATAGACTTCATATCCTCTACGAAGCAATTTGCCATAATTTTCCCGCTTAGAAGACTACAACTGGCAACTACAGTTTTTAATTATTTTGAGTTAGAAAGATTCTTGTTACAGTTTTCCAATGTCGTTTCTTAAGATACCCACGGCATGATACTGGGTAGTGGATTTTGTAATGTTGTCATTTCATGGTTAATACAATTTGATATAAAGAAAACAGTATTTCTACTCTGGAATTTTTGCCTGTAATGCCGTTTCTGTGTAATGATAATTTTACATACATAATAGCACATGTTCTGACATGTTTAACAACAAAAATTATGCGTAGACCTATGGGATTTAAACCAACAGCCACGCAATGCCACAGTAAAATGGTAAATAATCCCAATTTAAGTAAGCTGACTTTTTTATGTGGTTAGTGATATATAGGTATTTTATCCTGAGAAAATTCTGGCATAATGATTCGTGATGATAAAAATATATATATATATATATATATATATATATATATATATATATATATATATATATATATATATATATATATATATATATATATATATATATATAATAAAATACAAAAAAGGAAAAGTTGAGTTTCTGCATCTCAGGACTGTAGAACGTCTGCAATTATAATACACAATGTATGCATTTAGAAACTGCATAGTAGTGATAATTCCATCCCCAGGGGTTATTATAAATCATGTAGTCCTCAGTAGTAGAATAACCCTTATTAAACATTTTTGAAATACTTTTTTTAACTTTCTATATATGGTTCTGCGTATTTTCTGGAACATTGTTGTTAAAACGTATACACTACTCCATGAAGGATAAGATTTTCTAAGAATAGTCGATTGGTATTACCTTGTGTCTGTTGAAAAAATAAGAGGCCTAAGTTAATATATTAATTTCTTCAAATGTTTCCCTAAGAGATTTTTTCATGTTAGCAGACTTCACACGTGATAGAAAAATTTCTCAGGCATACAAGTTTCCTTACGATGTTTTTCTTAACTGCTAATCACGTGTTAAATGTCTGTGAGTATCGAACCCTGGTTATTTACTTACTGTCATTTTTCGGTAAGCTCCTAGACCCTGAGCTTAATATATGATTTTTTCAAATTTTAAGGTTTGGCATTTACAATCTGTACTTGCTGTAAACTTTAACATTAATCATTTTATTAACGTGAATCTATACGATAAAATAATTGACAATTACTAAACATTGCCTTGCTAAGAATGCGCCAGCTGAATGCGCGCAGCAAATGGCAAGCATTATTTGGAAGGTTTACCTTTCCACAGCGCGCTTGGCATGCGCTTTGGTGGTTTTAGAATTTAGCTCTGGTTGTGCTGCTAATCATAATCATCGTCCGAAAGGTTCATCGTGTCTGGGCTATTAGCCAGTGGGTCCCAAGACTTTCATCCGCCAATTACCTATATACAGTTGAATTGATATTTTGATACGATCGGTCAGACTTGAGTGGAGTCCAGAAATGTTAAACGAAGCACAGATCAAGTAAAAGAGCCTTGCTTGTCATTCCGGTGTCAAGGCATGGACAAGGAATTTTATGTTTTCTTGATTAACGGTAAAGTATACTCCTGAATTTTGGGCTCTTGTGTTGAAGTCAGGATTTGCGTTAATCATTATGGTTAACAGAGAAATTCACAATCTGGTCTGACTATTTTACATCTGACGTAAACTACATGAAAAATTGAAAACTGTAAGATTTCTTAAGTTTTCCAATAGTCACCTCTTACGACGTGTTGAAATTAATGTGATTTAAATCAACTAATTGGAAATTTTCATGTCTTATTTTTTCAAACGTAACATCATATAATATATAATATCTTTCAATAATAGTTGTATTTGTATAAGAAGAAGAAAAATTTAATTTTTATCCTGTAGGTAAGTAACAGAATTACTTTTTTGCCTAGGAGACTAGTCTGGGTCGGGATCACACTTTTACTTATTTTTTTATTTTTGTATTTTTTTTTAACTTATTTTTGTCGCCAAATAGCATTGCTTGCACTGCTGTATTCTAGTCTGGAGGTTATAGAGACACAGTGTAATTCGTAAAATCTCATAAGCTTTTATTATGTTTGCCATAGCAGTTTTCAAATCTATCAAATGGTTATACTCTACAAGCTGTTAACGTATGAAAATCTGTTTCTTAAAACCACTATTAAAAACCGTAAAAGCTCAGCAAGCTGAAGACAAACTTTTGGTGTTGTTTACTTAAAAAGCTTGTATTTGCGCATACACTTATATTACGTTTATATAGCCTAAGAAAATTATAATGTAGAAAACTATTATAGTGAGTAATTGATGAAATCGGGAGTTGTCTTTTTTATAGCTAAGTTTAATTTTTATAAAAGACTCTTAAACAGTTCTGAAGTTGGTAGCTGTTACTTTGTGTGTTTATGAATATTAGAAAAAGAATTACTAAAAATTTATGACAAATCACGCGACATTACAAATTAATACGCATGTTATAATATTTTACACTATTAAGTAACAATGTGAGACCATCCTAGTGTGGAAACTTGTGAAACGACCTCACGCGGTTAACGAGCCCAGCGATTATCCAAGTGATCGTAAGAAGTAACGTTTTGATGAATTTATGTTAATGTGATTACATTCAAAGCTGTTGTTAATGCTATATAATGGCGCAAGAGAAGACTTTACTGTCTCTCAACCCTTGGATACAATAAAATTTATTGGCATGACTTCAGCGTAACTTATTTTATACGTCTGTTTTTGTGACATAATAAGGCACTTGATTGTAGGTGGCCATTTCAGATAATGGCTGGCATATAACAGTGATTTTCGGTTCGACTTCAAAGCAAGTGAGCGCCTAACATTTATAACATGTATTATACCTATCATATGTCAACCGCTGAACATAAATCTTCCCCAAAGAAATCCACAAAGCACGGTCCTAAGTCACCTGCATTCGTCGACGTTCTCCATCTCTTACCGGGTTGTCACTCATCTAGTGGGGGTACGCCTTGCTCTTCGCTTACCGGTATGAGTTTGACACTCAAGAAACTTTTTTTTCCACTGGTTGTGGGTTGTCGATTCATACATATTATTGTTATGTTGTTGTTTTAATAATGTTTAACATATTTCTAATTATGCTTTACATTTGAACCCGTTGATGTCTTTTATATGCATATTTTACAGACTAGCAAAAGTGTATTTGTTTACGTTTAAATAAGTATTAGCTTAAAGTTAAAATATTATTTCCATTAAAATTTTGAATTCAAAAAATATAAAAATGGATTATATTAAAATTATAAAAAAAATATCTATTAATAATAAAATTATAAATTATAAAAAAAAATTGGAATTGATGTGCCATTGGGGAGAGACCACGTTTAGGCAAACCATATTATTTTTCATCATTAAAATTATCGAATGATTTAAAATATGTTTAAAACTGTTGTTACGTAAGCATACAACCTTTCGTTAGGAATTATTAACAACTAAATCACGTTATTTATCTAACCATACGGGCTCTAAAATATTAACAATGTAGTCAAACAAAGGAGACCAAGGATGTGCTCATCAAAGGCAGATTTGCGATAATAATACCCTACTCAAAAGAAGACGTCCTGCTGTTTTAATGTAGGAGATTGCGAAAT